TATGAAATCCACCATTAGTTCTATTTACAAGTGATGCAATTTTAGAAGTGCTTCATTTCTTTTGAAAGCCTCTTTTAGTTGATCACGTCTGCACTTCACAATACACATTCTGATCTTCATTTCTAGCCTTTCATTCACATTGGATTAGCTGCAGCAAAAAGTTCGTAGAGTTTCAGTTTATTGGGAGTTTGATTTCTAATAATTGAATCCCGTCTGCAATTATGGAACCCTTCACAATAAATATTCTGATATTCCTCCTGCAACCCGAATAACTTCAATTCATATTGGATTAGCTGCAGTGAAAAAGTTCGCAGAGTTGCAGGAAGTCCAATTTCTAATAATTGGACCTCGTCTGCAATTATGAATCCCTTAACAATAAATATTCTGATATTCCTCCGGCAGCTTAAATTACTTCGATTTATATAGAATCAGTTGCAATGAATGCAGAACGCAGAACTTGACTCTATTGGAAGTCTAATTTGCTATACATTAACTGTATATTGAAGTGTTTATAGAGTCTTTGCCCTTTTTATTCATTATCTTAATCTTTTAGTTGAATTTGAACTATGAAGACCTGGTACAGCACATACTCAAACTGATAATTTTGCTCACGGATTTTAGCTCCGTAATATATTAAATTTTTTTGGAAATATTGTGGTGGTGACTGCAAAATCTGTTCCATCAACTTCTTTGATTTTTTTAACATTTTGCATTATTAATTGGCAATTGAAGTGATTAAAATAATTTTGGAATTTCAAACAGTTGCATATTTTTCCATATTTTAGTGTTTTTATTAAATTGTATTTATTCACAATTTTTTTGTGATTATATATAGTTCACATACATATACGTATATATATATATATGTATATATGATTATATTTATTTATTTTTGCACACTAACTGCAATTGACACTTTATTGACATTTGCTTTTACTTTACATCAGTTATATTTATCGAAACTCTTACTGTTGTTGTTGTTGTTCATGTTGTTGCTGTTGTAATTGCGCTAAAAAATATGCAAATATTTTTATTATTTTGTACATATTTTTTGCATAATACAAGCGAAATTCAAATGCGTTTGCTGGTACAGGACACATTTCAAAATTCATACACACACGTACGCAATTACTCATACGCACACATCCCCTCATACGTATAGATTTCTACATATAAAAGCGCGAGATTAAAACCAATAACAACAATATGCAAAATCCGAGTACAGCAACAACAACAATGTTGCTATGTTAGCATATAAAAAATCAACATGAAGGAAACAAAAACATTTGCATTTTTATTGAAAATTAAAATAATTTTCACCGCAGACATCAATTTAATAAAATATTAAAATTAAAATAGAAAATAATAGAAAATGTTGCATACGTAAATAAAAATTACAATGTAAATCTAATGCGTATACATGCTTCAATCGCATAAATGTGAGTATGTATGTATGTGTGAGTGCATGAATATATTTATATTATTTAGTATTATAAATGTATTTGAGAATGAGTCATAAATATGTTTGATAATGTTAAAAATATTTATTTTAGGGTCTATAATTTATACAGTTTTGGATATAAAGTCTATTGGCGAATGAAGGGTAACTAACAATATAGTACCACGAAATAATGTCACGTATTCTTCAGAGAGTGATTCTATATGATTCTGTATTTACTAGTACTCGATGACTAGTACTAGAGTCATCGGGAAAAAATATTAATATAAAAACGCTAGCAACAACAAGCACAAATCTTAAAAAGCATTGTAACAAAAATATATTAAAGCTGTTTCCGATTTATTCCGCAGAAATGTGGGTGATGATTCTACTTGCTCAAGATATACGGCAGAAAAATCATATAGATGAAGATTGACTTTTCAGCACCTACCGCAATATGTTTGTAAAAACGATTTACCTAAAATATTTCAGGGCGTAGCTGTAAAAATCATTTGCAGACTGAAATAAAGAAACTCCAATCAAACTTAAATTCGGAAAATTTGGAGAAAACTTAGACGTAATAATTCCAAATTTGGAGATTTGGAAATTATTACGACGTCTTTAAAACTGAAAAATGCTCGAGCACAGTGTCCTTAATTCATTAACATGATTATTTGCCAGAAAAGCTTAACACCACGGTGGTCTTAACATACATAGCAGTATAATAAGACGATAAAAGGTCTTATTGGAGTTTAATGGAATTCCGTAGCTAGGTCAGGTTAAGTTCGGAAGGCGCGTGCTGACCGTTGTCAGCACTTTCACTCGGAGGCATTTATTGCCCATTGTGATGCCCTCAAAATTTTGCCGGTAGAGGCGAATTGCTAACCTTTGTAATCCTTGTTAAACCATTTGATTTTCCAGATGAAGTTAAGGAGATCCGATGAAAAAGCGATCCCCGAGTCCTGGACAGAGACAGAGGAAGTAGTTGATAGATTTTACCTCCTCTTCACCTTGGCAACTCCTGCATAATACGCATGTTGGAATTCGCCACCGTTGGAGCATAAGTGCAATGGCACAGTGCCCCGTTAGTACTCCAGTAAGCACACGAACTGCAGGTTTGCTGAAGCCTAAAAGGCTTTTCGTTTTCCGTAGGTAACAATTGAAGCTATATATTTGGATATACTTTTCGCTTGAGATAGATGGAGGCGCATCTAATACCTCTGCTGTTCTTTGGGTCACAGCACTCGGTTGGAAAATGCAACTTTACGTTGAATAAATGTGATGAAAAGTCATTCTATCAGCGTAATTTTGAGTTATAATTTTGAGTAATTTTGAGTCCATCACGATACTCCTATTAAAGGTGCTAACCTCAATTGGTCAGAGCAGTCGAAGTTGTGAAATCCGTAGAATCTCACTCTCATAGCACTAGATTAAAACCTCCGGTCGAATGTCGCAAGTGAAACTCATTCAATATCATTTACACTCCAAATAATTAGATTTTACTCGCCTTTTACGATAACCATGATATACCTCAGTAGTAATCTAGTGCATTTTTCCGCGGGAGTAGGGATCAGCTATAGTTTCCAAATATTTTAGTAATAAATAATTTAGGCTTGCACGCACATGTTTTTCATGTAGAAATTCTTGGAATCTTGATAGCTATGACACCCATTTCTGAACTTAGATGGAAAGAGAGGATTATCGTGTTTCTAGGTGACTGTCAAACTATGCTCAAAGTCCTTTTTTAAACCTATTTCTGCACTCAA